CTTCTCTGCTTGTTTCGATGTCTCTTCCCCCTCTCCAAGTTTCTGTTCAGTTTACCCCCGTCCTTTCTGATAGTATCATTATAAGAAAAGCAAGCACATCTGTAGCGTTTCCACTTCTGATCTTTGGTCATTGTATAGGTTTAACGACCATTTCATTATTGTAAAGTTATTTAAGAGGCAGGACATCCGAGTTTAACGTCCATCTCCGATAGGACCCAGCGAAATGGGTGGAGATCCTTAAAAACTCACCGAAATCAGTCACGTTCAAAATGCCCTTTCAGGATTTGAACCAGGGCTATCTGCACCGTAGTCCAGCATGAGCTAACGTGCGCTCTTTTCCCTCGTTTGGTGTTCATACAGAACACAGCTAAGAGAGAATACAGCCTATATGATTTTCATTTAACCCTGAGCTCAAGGGTGAAGGATGTCGAAAAAACCACCTCCAGCGTTTCCATGTAAATCTATCAACTTGGGACCTTGGGACAGAATTGATGATATCTAACTACCATTTTAAAGGGATCATTGCTTTCATATTTTACATTTAAAACAGCCCAGATTTCATCAGCCAGGTAATCACTATTGCTATGTCTGCTCATTTCTTGTTCCGAATGCCTGCCGTAATGACATTCTGCTTGTATGAATTTTCTCTTCTCTGTCTGCCAGCCAGGTCTGGCCATGAAAGGCAGCAACCCGTCACCAAAGTGATGTAAATAGTAATATGTCAATGAGGGCGCAAACATTCGCAAATTTTATTCATAATTCACAACTTGTATAAAACGTTTGTAACTTCAAAAAACAGATCTCTCTCACATGTGGGGGTTCAGGCTTGACAGCTGAGTTTTCGCGTTCGCTGTGTGTGGTGGCTGTCGTCAATAAGAAACGGGTCGAAGTTAAAATGTTTGCTTTAGGAGAGTGGAGTAGCGAGACCTCGGCTCGATATTTAAATCTACAGATGTAACCCCCCGTACAGTTAGTTAGTTGTACACACCGGCCTATACTCAGTGTGTTGTACCAAGGGATATAGCGTGGATGTTTTCTCTGTGAACAAGTACAAAGACGTTGCGGACTACAGCGTCAGAATGGTGAGGTAGTTTTTGGTTCTGGTGGGCATTTAAGTACGTGTTGTTATTGGTTAGGGTGATCATTTACATATTAAGTGTCCGGTCCAATTGGAGGACTCAACTCAAGAAACTCATGTTGAAGATTTTTGTTTTGTTTTGAAAGTATTAACCTTTACAAACGTGACATATGTCAGCATAATTGTGAGGCAGCGTGGTGGAATTGGGCCAACGTCAAAATAATCAAAGTGAAGAAACTTGCATTTTTCCGCAGGTTTGTTGATTATTATCAATTTTTTTTTTGGGCTCAACGCTTTTCATGCCCAATAAAGAACTTATTTCTGTGTACATTTTTCTGAAAAACGTTGATTAAAGGCACAAAAAAGTAAATTTCAGTTACCACGGACTCTTAATCTAAGGAAATAACTAATCTTTGCAATTTTTTCCTCTAATTTTATCTTTGAAAACAGGTGATCCCCACTTCCTTCATTTGCAAATATCTCAACTTGTATTCTAGATAAATGGATATTTTTTTCCTCCAAATAAAGACAAGT